GCAGCTTTTGCATTCCTGTGTCAAGCCTGAACCTGGAGGCTTTAGTGGGAGTGTGGGGGCTTGGCTGGGCTTTGGGTGTGAATGAGGGGAGGGCAGCTCTGGCAGGGGGAGCTGACAGCTCAGAGAGCGTCTCTGCTGTTGTGGGGCCAGGAACTGCAGCCCTTTCCAGGCTGCTGGAAGGCCACGTCTACACTACAGCCATTTTTGTGCAAAAACCCATGGAGCGTTCACACCTCAAGCGTGTTTTTGTTCAAGAAAATCTACAGGTAATCGACAGAACGAAGGGCTTTTTGCAGGGTAGATAACCTTCTACGAGGCATAACTCCTTTTTGCGCTACAGCTCTTGCGCAGAAAGGTGTGCGTGGACGCACTGCAGGGGTTTCTTGTGCAGAAAGAGCCTATCCAAAAAAGCCCGGTTGCTCTGACGGGCCGTTCTGCGAATGGCCGTCAGAGCTTTCTTGGGCAAGAGCGTCCATGCAGCGAGGACACTCTCTTGCACAAAAGCACGTCGCAAAAGAGTTTTGCCCAAAAGCCCTGCAGTGTCGACATAGCTAGAGTGAGCGAGAGCTGTACTGACAGAGTCCTCCCCCAGGAGTTCTCGCTGAAGTCCTTCCCTCCTGCCAGTGTGGTGAATGGGGCTCCTGCTGAGAGCTCTCTCCTGACAACAGGCAATTACAGAGCCCTGCTGGTGGCTGCTGCCCTGTTCACTCTCCTCCAGACCCTGCCTCTGCCTCTATGGTACTTGCATGTCCTGGGGAGAGTTGCCTAGGACCAGGGAGGGCCTGAGACCCATCTGCATTGGATCCAAATGTCTCCATAAGCCCCCTGGGGGTCTGGATCCAGGGACCCATCTCTACTGGGACCCATGGATCCCATAGGACCGTCCCCACCAGGCTCAGCTCCTACAGAGGATCACTTAGCCTCCCAGTGGAGCGGGGCATGCTGGGAAATCAAGCATTCTCCCCGCAGGCTGTGCCGGGCAGAGTTGGGGGTGGGACGAGCTGCTGCAGCAGGGCCGGATATAGGGCAGGGCGAGCGGGGCGGCTGCCCCGGGCCCCGCGCTTCAAGAAACCCCGCGCATGCGCCGTGTCAAAGGGGGGGTCCCGTGAAATTGTGCTGCCCTGGGCCCCACGAAATCCTCATCCGCCCCTGTGCTGCAGGGCGGGTGGCCACGGTGTGTTGAGGGCCCTGTCTGGACGCTGGGCGTGGGAGCTGTTTTAGGAGGTCTGGTCTGGATGGGAAGGAAGTGGAGCCCCAGGGGATCCCGCAGGTCCCCTCTAGCCCCAAGCCGGATGGGCAGTTTTCTCTTCCTTTCGCTCCTCGCGGTAAGGGGAGGGGGAATTTCAGGGCCTGGGCTGCACCTTCCTCTCCGTAGGTTCCGCTGCGCTTCGTGCGCCACCTGCTCCGGGGGAGCCTGCAGCAGGCAGCTTCCACCCAAACCTCTCCCCTGCTGCAGCTCCTCATGCTGCCAGGGCTGCCTGCCCCCCAGGGGCTAGAGACACCTGCCCTGGAAAGGGCATCCGGGCTGCAGGCCTCTCGGGTCCAAAGAATGCAGCACGAGCGAGACAGGCCAGGGCCTCCCCACTCCCCGTCCTGGGAGAGAGGCAGGTCTGAAGGGGGTTGGGTGAAGCTGCGATTGTCGCACTCGACCTGTGACCAGGGCCTGAGAGCCAGAAGCAGCAGTTGCCCGCTCAGGAGGTTGCTTGCACCCAGGCGACAGGTGGGCCAGTCGAGGGCTGTATGAGAACGCCCAAGGCCCAGCCCTGCACTCCTGCAGCTCCCCTGAGGGCATCAAGGGGGATCTGGCTGTGGGCGTGGGGGGCATAGGATGTGGCAAAGCCAGGGGCTGCTGGGGGAATCTGCTGCGCGCCTCACTGGGGACAGAAACAGGACTGTTTTAGAAAAGGTGCTGTCCTCTCTGTGCTGTGGAGTGGGGGGGAAGTGGTCAGCTGGGTGCATGGAGGGCCCCTCTGCATCATCTCTGGGGCTGGGTGCTCAGCCACAGCCAGGAGCCTGCAGTTGAGTCCTGCTGTGATGTCAGGGCTCCGGGCTGGGCGGCCTTAGGAGTAATTAAAGCTGATGCTGATGAGCTGCTGCAAGTGGGTGAGCAGAGGTGTGAGGCAGGAGCCCAGAGCAGTGCCCCTTTGCTCCCCACTTTCTCCTGCCAGTACCAGGACCAGCACCACTGTCTGCAAGGCACATGCCTCCTGGGACCAGGGCAACCCCTCCTGCTACTGCCCTCCTCCAGCCATGTGCCCAGCCCCCAGGACACCTGCCCTCTGCCCCATGCAGCCCAGCCCTGGAGTGTCTCCATCAGCTGTGCTAGCTCCATGCTGGCAGCACTGCTCCCTGCCATCACCTGGCCCCTCTGACGTAAGGCAGGACATCCCGAGTGCCAGGGGGCTGCTTCTCCAAAGCCGGGCCACAGCAGGTAACAGCAACTGAAAGCTGTTCAGTGGGGTCTGAGTGTTGCCACCTGTCCTGGATTCTGCCCCCACGTGCCCAGCCCACAAGTTGAAAAAGCCAGGGCAGCTGAGTTATACTGCTGCTGCAAACCTGCAAAAACGACGCGGAGTCCTGTGGCACCTTATAGACTAACAGATTTATTGGGGCATAAGCTTTTGTGGGCAAAGACCCACTTTGTCTGATACATGTCAGATGCTGCAAACCTGGTTAGTAGTCTGAGGAAGTGTTTGTGGTAGCAGTTGTGCTCAGACCTCGCCCATGTAGAGTAGCAGAGACACAGCGGCTTGGATCCAAAAATAATCCCAGAACTTTTGCCAAGTTCCCTGGGCCGCAAGACCACATCCTGATTCCTGGCCCAACCCAGCCTGATATGTATCCTGGTCTCATCTAACTTAATTGGCAACTTGCACTCAGGAGAGGCCCACCTCCGAAATAGCAGGGCGGGATGGGGGGGCGGGCAGCTGGCAGAGCTGTGGGTGTAATAGGGGAGGTTCTGGGGGGCACTGCTGAGAATGTCAGTTCAGGACACATTGCGTAGAGACGGGTACTTCAGCCCAAGACTGGGGTCCTTCACCATAAGGCACACCAAGCCAGTCACAAAGAGCACTGCTGTTTGCCACACTAGCTAACAAGAAACCATACACGCAATCCCCCCTCAACACTTCAGTTTTCCTGTGCCACCATACAGAGAGAGGTTATGAAAACGGATCTCACCAAATGAAAAAGGTCTTCTGATCCCAAAGGACCAGCCACATTCTTAGGTCAATTTATAACTTAGCTCTCACCCAAAAAGCATGTTGTTGCCAGTCCTTGAGAATCTAAAATGTAAAATCTCAGAGGTGTAGCCATATTAGTCTGTAACTTTTAAAAACAACAAGTAGTTCAGTGGCACCTTAGAGTCTTATAAAAGTATATAGGATCATAAGCTTTTGTGGGAAAAGCCCACTTCATCACATGATGCTCATGGTACAATATACTTTTGTTAGTCTCTTAAGGTCCCACAGGACGACTCATTGTTTTTAAACTTTAAATGTTTATTTATAAAAAGAAAGAAAGGGTGAGAGATAAAATAGTAAAAGGAATCAGATTGCATATACCAGCTGCAAAGTGCTTGGGGGCAGGCTATTAGCAGAGAGGGAAGCAAACTACCGGTTTAAGTCAAGCCTCTAGAGTACATTTCCTTAGGATGGGTCATCAGAGGTGAGAAGCAGGATTGAAGACAAATGGAGGGATTTCAGGGCCTTTCTATGTTCTCAGCCATGTGGAAGGAAACCCATTGTTCTCGCTGTGTAACAGTATGTCCCAAGGTGGAGTTTGGAGTGGTGTGAGCAAGTCACCTGTCTGTGCATGAGTCAGGTCTTTACAGGTAGACACAATAGCTCACATTCCAGACTGAAGGTTTACAGGGAAGCCCATTCAGTGTCCTTGGTGCCTCCCATACTTCCTTGTTCATTGAATGTTTCTTGATAGGCCAGTCCACCTGACACCAGACATGCGGGCGAGCTACTTGGTGGGTGTTGCTCCAGCAGCTAACATTTGAAGTACAGATGCACAGCTAATGCTCAGGTCTCCAAGTACAAACATGATACATGCACACACGTAGCCCAACCATAACCAGCGAACCATCAGCTTTGCATAGACATCTCACTTGGCCCACTTCGTACATGAAGCAGTGGTCGCAACAGTGATCAGTAAAGACACATCACAATCCAATAACATCACAGTGAGGTGGGGAGGTACCAGGCTACAGCTGGGGTGTGTGGGCGAGGCTGGGGTTGGGACAGCTGGGGGCTGCAGGTCAGGCAGGGGCACTCGGTAATGTAGGCAAGGGAAGGCACAGTCTTTCCAAAATAGCCTACGCGACCAACTGCCTTAGGCTGGGGCCGCGGCGCAGCAGCCTGGCTCTGTCCGGCCACTGGGGAAAGCAGCCCAGCTCAGCAGCCCGGCTGCTTGGGAGCAATGAGCCGTGGCACAGCAGGCCAGCTTCCCCCGGCAACTGGGAAAGGATCAAGCCATTGCGCAGCAGCCCAGCTTCCCCCAGCCACCAAGGACCACAGCACAGCAGCTGCAACTCTCCACATGGCCAGGAAGCCTTAGGTCGAAAGGGGCGGAGCTTCAGGTGGAAGGGGGCGGGGCTGGGACTTGCCATCCCCAGCTGGCCTTTCATGGGTGCATGGGCAGAGCTGGGAGGGGCCAGAGCTGGGATAGTCAGCTGGGTGAGGGTGGGGGTGGGATAGCTGGGAGGTCCAGATGAGGTGTGGGATGCACGGGCAAATCTGGGTGAGGGTTGGGCGGGGCTGCAGGGCAGGCCTGAGGTGCATGGGCAGACCTAGGTGCAGACTGTCCCTGGCTGTGAGCGGGGCTGCGGCCTGGGCCCCTGGGACACACAGGTAGTGGTGCTGATCGCTGAGCTCCGAGGCGCTGCACCGACCCTTCCCATGCCCCGGGGTTGGCGGGGGGGCGGCAGCTCTCCAGCTGCGGTGCTGCCGTCTCATGCGCCCCCCCCACCCCGGCATCTGTTTTGTTGTTTGCAGATGGCGAGCGGCTGGGCGAGGTGACAGATGCTGGCAGGCGCGGGGCCGGGGCCCGGGCATCAGCGCAGCAGAGAAAGGCCGAGGACTCCAGCGAGAGCCGGGAGGATGAGCAGATGGTAATTGCTGGCTGGCCTGTCCCCTCTCTCTGGCAGATGGGAAATGAGCTCTAGGCTCCGGCTCTGGGCTCCAGGCATGTGGGGGGGGGGTGGAGCTGTGTGCGTGCCGGGGGCGGGGCCAGTGAGCTAACACTAGGCCCCTCCCCCAGCTCAGAACCTGGGGTCTCCCTGCAGGGCTTCCTGCCGCTGCCCCTTGAGCTGGGCTGCGAAGGGGTCTCCCCATTGATGCTGCCCTGACACAGAGGGCACCCTGAGGGAGGCAGGGGTCCTGATGGGAAGGCCATGGAAGGAGTTAGGATAACCGTGATGGGAAGTACACGGCAGGACTCCTTCGGGCAGTGGCTCTCAGCCTTTCTGGACTCCCGTCCCCCTCTGAGGAGGCTGGTTTGGCCTGTGTACCTCACTTAAAAGCTGCTTGATGACCAAATCAGACACAGACACACAGTGGCGGCAGCGCCGCACGCGAGTACTGCATCGTGCACTTTCTTATGCTTGCCATGGAATCGTATAGATAGTAGCCCAGTGTCTGTGAGTCTGTAACGCTGACGTACATGGCCACACCCCCTGGCTGTGTATGTCAGCGCCCCACCCCGCTTCCTCATCCTCCGTGGCGGCTCGGCCAAGCGCTGCACCACTCAGCTGGGCCGTGGCGGGGGAGCAGGCGGCGGCAAGCGGCCATTTGGGGTCTGTTCTCCCAGGCTGGGGGCCATGGCGGGAGGGGTGGCGGGAGGGGAAGGGGCTGGGGTGGTGACTCCACAGTGGGAGGTCGATGGGAGCAAACAATCCCATCAACTTCCCTTCCTCCTCACAAATTGAGGGCGCCCTCAGCGTTTGATTTAGCGGGTCCTTACTAGACCTGCTTAATCAAATGCCAGAAGATTGATCTCCAGCGCAGTAAGTATAGATGTGGCCTGAGTTGCTGTACTCCCAGGAAGACCCCAGCATACCCCTGGGTACACCTGCCCCAGTTGAGAACCACTGCCCAAGGGGCTTGTGCTGCTGGAAACCAGGAAGGGGTATGAGAGCTGGCCTGTACGGCTTCGTCCCTGTGGCGAGCTCCTGCAGGCATGTGTGGGGATCCTGGATCAGAACACCTCTGGCGTGTCCGTGGGTCCCATGGGGTGCCCCCTTGGCGAGCACATAGGCAAGAGGCGTGGGGCAGCCCTGTCTCAGCGTCGCCCTGTTGAGAAGCACAGAGTAGGGGTAGAATGCTGCTCGGCCGGATGGAGCCCGGGAACCCAGCCGCCCCTGAAGATAACACTAGGTGGGGAGCAGGCAGGGGACTGTGGCCGGAGTGTGTGTCTCCCAGTGGCATCACCACTCTGAAAGACGTGCGGGAGGGCCTGCCCAGTGGACGGAGCACAGCTGGTCTCTGCTGGTTGAACTGGACATGGCCCTGCTCCCGCTGGGGTCTGTGGGCTGAGAGCCCGGCTGTGGGCTGGGCACAGCGAGCTGCTTCTGCCATTGCAGCCCCTCAGGGGCTGGAGGAAGAGCTGGCAGGGCACTTGGGTGCTTGGCTTGCGGACAGAGGCATGGTAGCACCCAGGGGATGCTCTGTGCCCTGATTGCTGACTGGCTGCTCCCTCATGCCCCCTCCCTGATCCTCGGGGGGGGGGCTCTCCCTGCACCCCTGCTCCCCACAGGCACCCTTGCTTCTGCCTGTGGGCCATGTGCCGTACAGGGCCCCTCGCCCACGGTGGCCCGGGTAGTGCAAGGAGCACGTTGGATCTGGCTCACTCTGCCAGGACTGCGCTGTCAGGGCTTGCGCAGGCTGTACGGGAGCCTGGTGGAGGGAAAGCTCATATTTCACCGCCTGCCGGCGATAGTTCATTTCCCCTCACTGTGATAACGGTGACACTGACAGATCGCTGCCCCTTTCCGCAGGCATTGGCAGCCACGGAATGCAAGGGGGACAGAAACGGTTCTGGAATGGAAATCACATGGCAGCATTTAGCACAGGGTGTGGACCGTCTGGCCTGCCACATGCAGAGAGCTGTGCTAATGGAGCCCTGGCCCAGGCCAGTAGCTGCGGCCAGGGGTCCCTGTAAACTGAGCACTTGCGCAGCCACTCAGGAAAGATTCAAATGCCGCCCAGCTGATTAGCAAAGCGCCCACAGCCATCAGCATGGGTTTCTACTGGTGGTACATACCTGCTCATGCCTCGCTACACACAACAAAATTTATTCTCCACATGGCTGAAAAAAAATTACAGGGAACACTGGCTGCAGCCCCCCAGCTTATTGAAGACTCTGTGGGGAGGACTGGAGAAAGTAAAGGACCATTTACATCCCAGCCCAATTCCAGGTGGTTTAGATACCAGGGCCAACCTCACCTTCCTCTAGGCTGGAGCTATTTCTTCCTGGCCAAGCTGCTGCCCTGAGGCATGAGGGTTGGGAGCTCTTGAAATACTGACATGGTGCGAAAATCCAGCCTGCCCTTCGCACACCTTTCACCTGAGGCTGCAAAAGTGTCTGGCGAAATGATCAGTAGCATCCACTCCGGCACACCCCGAGAAGCAGACGCAGTGAGAGATGGGCACGGCGTGCACGTCAGCCAGGGAGCTCGGAATAGACCCCAGGCCTGTGGGCACCCAGCTCCCTGCAGTGTCTACTGGACAAACTAACCCTATGCTGGTTGTTACTGAGCCGTTTCCAAGCCATCAACCCTGCCTTGCTGCAAAGAGTCCCTTGCTTGGCGTGGTCTATCCCAGCTATTTCACTTCTCCCTGCCCTTCATCCTTTGCACCCTGAACAGCCCTGCTGCCTCCGTTGCCTCCTGCCTGCCCCCTCCTCCCTTGCTCTCAAGCCCTGCCGCATCTGCTCCCCTCCTGTGCTGCTCAGAGAAGGGGAACCGGCCCTGATAGCCTGCGCAACGTGCCGGCGTTGGGTGATCTCAGGCCACGGTAGCAGCTTCGGCGCCCTTCTCTGTTCTGTGCTTGCTGGCGGGGGCAGCGCCCTGGGGCACTAATGGATCATCTCTGCCGGGGCGGGGCGGAGCGATGCCAGAACCGAGCATTTGGCCTCTCGGTGGTTTTGTCCCCAGCCTCGTTTTGGGGATGTCACTGGAACAAAGGCCGCTGTTAAGTGGGACCCAGCCAGCAGCTCCCGGAAGTTGCTTCCCATCTGAAAGAGCACGTGTGTGCTGGCACCCAGAGGCATCTGGCCTGGCTCCCCACCCTTCCCTCCAGCCGCTGAGAGCAGGGCTCCTCCATGCCTCCCCCCATGCAGCCAGGAGCATCTCCAGCCTGTCACCTGAGCATCCCATGCCACTTTGCAGGCCCTGCAGAGCTAGCCCGGCTGGACCCAGTGGGAGGCAGGAGAGGACTGTGATCCGGCGGCGACGTGAGGGTGCAGCTCTCCCAGGCAACCAGGGATTCTCCCTGCTTTGATCTCAACTAGACACGCCCCTTTGAGAAGCAGGATTTGCACCATTCCAGCCATTGGGTCCCTGCTCCGGTGCCCCGCTAGGCTCAGTGGCTGTTTTCACTGGTGGAGCTAAGACTTGCTCCAAGTGGAGCTTTGCTGGCTGGGGCTATGAGGGGGGATCCTGTCGGTGCTGGGGTTTGCCTCAAGACAGCTGCCCCATTGGCCGGCATGGGGGCAAAGCCCCATTGCCTGTCCGCTCTCGTCTCCTCCGTTCCGTGCTGGCGGCTCCATGAGCGAGGCCGGGAAGGGCATCCCACAGCTCAGCAGAGCTGTGCCCCGTCTGAGCATTACAGGCCCCTTCTTCCCGCCCCCAGCGCTGGGAACAAACGGGAGAATTATCCCGCAAGGCAAGCCAGCAGGGGCCTGCTCAGGGCAGCCTCTGAATTGCTGCCTCTGTCAGTGCAGGGCGGGGAGAAGTTCACTGGCTGGAAAGGAAAACAGCCTTGGCTGCCATAGCGCCCTGGATCCAAAGCAAAGCAATGGGGCTAAAAAGCCCCAGCCATGGAAAACTGGAGCCCAGGGTGGTTTAAACTCAGTAGCATTAATTACAGAGGCTGTCGTCCACAGACAGCTCCTTATAGCTGGGGCAGGGCAGGGCTGCCAGCACCCAGCCCCTCCTCCCACAGAGCTCCCGCCTCCCCCCGTTCTCCCTAGCCATGGCAGGGAGCCACCTTGGCTCCGCACTGCTGCGGAACAGAGACGCTTTTATCTGCCACCGCTCGGCTGCCCTGGAGGCGGGGGCTGGAGAGTGGGGAGAGCCATTTTGGGGGGTTTCCCGAGCGTGTGCTGCTAACAAGAGCCAGCTGCACACGAGGCCGCAATGAAATTGCAAGACAAAGGCTCATTAGACATGGCCGTTGTCAGTGCGTCCTCCCCCTTTGATGTGTGCCAATCCAGCGCTGGTCCCACATGGATCCTGCCCATCAGCCCCTCCCCCCAAGGGCCCACACCAAGGGGTAGGGGGCTCTGAGCAAGTGGCACTGAGGTGCTCTCACCAGCCACGGGGGCCTTAGCAAGTCCCCCAGACATTGGCATGAAAGTGCCACTGAGTTTTGGAACTGGCACTGGTACCGGCTGCTCCCTCCCTCTCCCTGCACTGACACCTTCAGAGCCCTTCCCCACACCCACCCCAACCACAGCGCATCTTCTAAAGGCCACTCTAGAATTCGGGCTAAACTTTCCATGGGAGCAGAAGAAATTCTTCCTTTCCAACAATCAAAGCCTAATTATGCTGCCTGTCTAATCGTGTTTTCAGAGGGCATCGTTCCCCTCCTCCAGGGCTTTAATTAGTTCGTTTAGACAAAGTTTGCTAATTACTTCCATAGTGCCATGCATCCTAATAGGCTCCTCTTTGTTTACAGCATTTATCTGCCACCTCCGGTCGCCGCGTGCTCCACTCAGATGTGCAATGTACTTGTCACCCTCCGTGCTGGCCTCAGCCATGGCCTTCCCTGAGTCTCTGGGGGGGCTGCCTTTTTGTGTGGTCCCATCAGCCTTCATGTCCCGGTGCACTTAGGGGCCTTTGGCTCGCTGTACCCCAGCAGCAGGGTCCGGAGAGGCAGGCTGGCCTTGGGA